CAGAGTGATAGTAGCATGTGGAAGGAACACCTAACCTGGACACTGGGAAGGTTGGGAAAGGTTTCCTGGAGAATGTGATTTCTAATCTGAGGCTGGAGGATGAGGGGGAATTATTGGGTAATTTATGTGTGGGCAGACTGAATAGTTTGGAGAAATACCTAAGCAGGTGAAACAACAAAGCAAATTAGGGAAACTAACAGTACTCCTGTATGTCTGAATCATAAAATTCAACGTAGGAATAGTGAGCAACAAGGTGGAAAAATTAGGGAGTGAGAGGCAGAAAATGTTTCCATGGAAAAAAGTTCCAGCTTTATTCTGGGAGCCCTTGAAGATTTGAACCATAGAAAAATAACATCGACATTATATTTCAAATTTCACGCTGGCTTTAGAGTAAAAAATGAATTGAAGGTGGGAACAAGCCTGGAATAGAGATAACAGGAGATTGCTGAAGTCCAGGTTAGAGATAAATGTGGTCTTGGGAGTAGGAAATGAGTAAAGGAGCAGATTTCCAAACTATTTAGAAGTTAGATCCATAGATCTTTCTTCGTTTTTGTTTTTTGTTTTTTTCAGAGATGGAGTCTCACTCTGTTGCCCAAGCTGGAGGGCAGTGGTGTGATCTCAGCTCACTGCAACCTCCACCTCCCAGGTTCTAGTGATTCTCCTGCCTCAGCCTCCCGAATAGCTAGGATTACAGGCATGCACCATCACATCTAGCTAATTTTTGTACTTTTAGTAGAGACGGGGTTTCACCATGTTGGCCAGGCTAGTCACGAACTCCTGTCCTCAAGTGATTCACCCACCTCGGCCTCCCAAAGTGCTGTGATTATAGGCATGAACCATGGCACATGACCAGATCTGTAGGTATTAATGGATAACTGGAGGCATGAGATGAGCATCAGGGAACACATACGACCTGGAGGCAGAATAGCAATGATTAAGAATAGGTATTTTAAATCTGGGTAGACAAAAGTTCAAACCCTGGCTCTATCACTTAGGATTTAAAGCATAGTTAATTACCAGTAAAAAGGAGACACTAATATCTATCTAGCATGGTTGCTTTGCAAATAAATACAATATTATATGACAAGTCCCTGGCACAGTGTAAAGCTTTGATAAATTATAACAAGTTTGATTCCCTGGTTCTGTCTAAAGGAACTTGTTGGATGGGAAAAGCCATTTATTTAGTGTAGCAGTTAGGTACGTACTGGCTGCAAATAACGATAAAATTGTTCTATAGCAGTTTAAACAAATATGGGTTTTCTTGCACAGGAGGTGGACAACTGTTGGCATTCATTTATTCAAGACTGGAGTTTCTATAATTTTCCTGGGCTCTGGCTCATGGTCACAAGATGGTTGCCCCAGTTCCAGAGTTGAAGGGAACTGGGCATAAGAGAAAGGTAACAATTCTGCTAATTGTCTTGAGATGGAGAACACAGGAGGAGAAGTGGAATTTGGTGCCGGGGAGGGGGTTGGGGGGAATAATTAACATATATACGGAGTTTCAGGTTCTGTAATAAATCCATCCATAGAAACAGGTTTAATTAGCTGGGCTTGGTGGCCTGTCCCTGTAGTCCTAGCTACAGAGGAGGCTGAAGGAGGAGGATTGCTTGAGCCCAGAAGTTCAAGGCTTTAGTGAGCCATAATCACTCCATCGCATTTTAGCCTGGGCAACATAGTCAGATCCCCTCTTCAAAAACAAAAACAAATCAAAAACAGGTTGAGTAGGCAGTTGTATATATTGGCCTGCAGCTAAGGAAAAATGTCTGGGATTGAGGGGCATGGTTGAATTCTTTAGGGCGAATGAGAGAACCATAGAAAGAGTATAAAGTGAGAAAGAAGGAAGATCAGGCCATATGAATGCCAACACTGATGGGATGAGAAGAGACAGAGAACCTACTAGAGAAGAAAGAGCTATGGACTGGCTACAGAGGCAAGAGGAGAGCATAGAGCTCGCGGGGGCCCGGAAACCTAAAGCAGAAATGATTAAAGGAGGACACTGCCATTAATTTCAAGGGCTACTCAAAAAACCGTCAGTGACCTTGCCCAGAGCTTTTTTTTGTTGGGAAGGGGCAGAAGCTAGAGTTGAGTGTGTTGAAGAGGCACTCAGGGACATGAAAAAGGAAAAAGAACAAATATAAAAGTGTTTTATTTTTTCTTTGTTCTCAGCTCATTTAAAAATTTTTTTACTTTAAGTTCTGGGATATGTGGGCAGAACGTGCAGGTTTGTTACATCGGTATACATGTGCCATGGTGGTTTGTTGCACCTATCAACCCATCATCTAGGTTTTAAGCCCCAGATGCATTAGGTACTTGTCCTAATGCTCTCCCTTCCCTTTTCCCCCCATCTCCCAACAGGCCCAGGTGTGTGATGTTCCCCTCCCTGTGTCCATGTGTTCTCACTTTTCAGCTCCCACTTATGAGTAAGAAGATGCTGTGTTTGGTTTTCTGTTCTTGTGTTAGTTTGCTGAGGATGATGGCTTCTAGCTTCATCCATGTCCCTGCAAAGGACATGACCTCATTCTTTTTCATGGCTGCATAGTATTCCATGGTGTATATGTGCCACATTTTCTTTATCCAGTCTATCATTGATGGGCATTTGGGTTGGTTCCAAGTCTTTGCTATTGTAAATAGTCTCAGAGCTAATATTTTGTGATGTCCCTTGTAACTACTTTTTAAAGGAAAGACTGGGAAAATCAATTTGCATTTCAGAAGGGAATCAGACTGAGGATTACTCTCTGACCCTTATGACCTTCAAAGGGTCTCCTCCAGTGCTACCATCTCTGATTTCATTGTCCTTACTTCATTGATAAGTCACAAATAAAATCACTTGATGCCTTTGGCTTCTAGGGAGCATGGGCTGTGTAAAATGTTAATTGTACCACAGGTCCTTAGATAATGCCATTTTATTCAACATTGTTTCATGATAACATTGATGAGGAAAAAAATATATTTCCAGCTGGGGCCACTGTATGTATGCAGTCTGAATGTTCTCCCCATGGCTGTATGGGTTTTCTCCAGGTCTTCTGATTTCCTGCCACAACCCAAAGCTGTGCTTGTGAGGTAAACTGGCATGTCTAAATGGTCGCCGTCTGAGTGTGTGTGTGCCTTCCTGATGGGCTGGCCAAGGCTGGTTCCTGCCTTGTGTTCTAAGCTGCAGGGAGAGGCTCAAGCCACCAGAGACCCTGAATTGGAATAAGTGGGTTGGAGGAGGAATAAATGTATGGATACAAATTATTGACATGTAAAAATTCGTAAAATATATGATAATCACACAAATGCAAGACAACAAATGATATTGTATGAAATTGCTCAGTGAGCCTGCTATATTTGCCATGGTTTTGACTTGCGTTGTGACAGGTGGTACTCCTTATAATTTTCTCTTTGCAAACATTTATTCCTTGATTGAATCCACTACCACTACATCTGCCCTCACTCACTGATTCACCAAAAATTGGGTCAATGATTATCTTGGTTTTATTAATATTTCTTACATGCATGTATAGCTGACTATTTATTTCCATGTTTAATATTAGAAGTGTTTAAATCTTTATTTAGAAAGTTTGGTGATGTCATGTTTTTATCAATTGGTCTATGGTAAAATTGGTTTTAAAGTCACAGTTTCCATGAACCTATCTGTGACGTTTTAAGTGAGGACTTACTGTTTATAGAGCTTCCTGGTGCTCCAACGGGCAGCGTGTCTGGAAATCACTTTTGTTTGATACCACAATTAACACAAACTAACTTTCCCAGGCTCTTCTTTATTTTTAGTATGTTTTTATGTGGATGAACATTATGGAAAATAAAAGGATTATGGGAAAATTTAAATATCTCATTTGTACATTTTTGGCAGATTGTATTCAGATTTAAAACATTTAAATATTTGGAATATACAAAATCTACTTTTTTTTTTTTTTTTTTTTTTTTTTGAGACTGGAGTTTCACTCTTGTTACCCAGGCTGGAGTGCAATGGCGCAATCTCGGCTCACCGCAACCTCCGTCTCCTGGGTTCAAGCAATTCTCCTGCCTCAGCCTCCTGAGTAGCTGGGATTACAGGCACGTGCCACCATGCCTAGCTTATTTTTTGTATTTTTAGTAGAGACGGGGTTTCACCATGTTGACCAGGATGGTCTCGATCTCTTGACCTCGTGATCCACCCGCCTCGGCCTCCCAAAGTGCTGGGATTACAGGCTTGAGCCACCGCGCCCGGCACAAAATCTACTTTTATACTGGACCACCCAGATTCATGACATGTGATGACAAATATAAAAATAAACCTGTAGGTGACATTGTGCATTTTATGCAGTTGACCAACTGTTGGGTTTAGGTTTAAGAAGATCAGCAGGAAGAAAGAAAATAAAACACGTTAAATTTAACATACCCAAATCTATGCAATATATGTAGTTATAAGAACTTACTTTTCAGGAGAAAAATTTGTATTAATTTTTCTCTCTTTCTCCCTTTCCCTGTCTCTTCTTTTTCTCCTTCTTTAGATAGATGTTTCAGAAAAGTACTTTTCAGAGTTGCAGGTTTATTTGAAAAATGTGCTTTCTTTTGTTTCCTCTTATAGCATTAATTCAGCAGGCTGCAGACAGAAAAGTAGTAACTTAACTCACTTTAACTCTTTTTTGTCTGTTCCCCTCATAAATGTGGCAATTCTCGAAAACATTTCTTTGAGAGACTCTAATCCTCTAGCAGTTGAATTCCCAGCGCTCATATTTTAGGACATCACTCATGGCGTGGAGATTAAAACTTCATGTGTCCTTTACTATTCACATAATTATTAAATGGAAGGTTTTCAATTAGACCCGTTCCCTTAACTGCTTGGATTTAATCCGTGAGTGCCAGGGAACTTTGCTCTCCCTTGAGTCCTCCTTTCCCTTATCTCGCCCCACGTGGGGACGTGCTCCTGTGTGTGAGGCTGCTTTCCTTTCCCTGAAGGTGGGCCGAGCAAAGGAGAGTGACGCAAGAGTGGGCTGTGTCCTGGATGCCGCGAGCGCCTCTGCCTCCTTGAGAATGAGCCCATCAGCCGCACAAATTCGCAGCGGGCGTCCGGGGCAGCGGTCGCAGCCGCGGCGGAGGCTCTGCACTCCCGAGTCCTGCGTCCTCGGCAGGCGCCCGAGGCTGAGCGCGCATCCTCCGCCGCACCCAACCTTCGCCTGTCTTTTCAAGCTCTACATGCTGCCCAACTAAAAGGAAAACATGGGCACAGGGGATTTTATCTGCATTTCCATGACTGGAGGGGCGCCCTGGGGGTTCCGACTGCAAGGTGGCAAGGAGCAGAAGCAGCCCTTACAAGTTGCAAAGGTAGGACCTGAACGAGGTATCGCGGCTCTGTGCCGGGAAGCAAGGAATGAAAGCAACCTGTTGATGGTGTTTTCAAGTTCTGATGCAGAAGTCTATGCATTAGTTTGATTTTGCTGCGGACATTAGATTTTTCTAGGATGTGAGTTGTTTTCTAAGAAAGGTTGGAGAGCAATGGACCACATTCTATGTAATTAACTTGCAGTTGATGAGGGGTGGGTGGGAAGAATGCCATATTTATCAGCTGAGGAAAAAGACCTCGTTAGTTATGTTCTTCTGACAACCAGCAAGACGCTGGGGAGCGTTCCTTCCAGGCAATATTAGAATGTTCAGTTGAGTTATTGTTTCATGTCACTTCACTCGGCTCTGGCAGAGGAGAAACGCTCAGCTCAGCGTAACTATTTTGCTTGGCTATTTTGGGGACGCTTATATAGTGTTGGTAGTGATATTTTTATGCAGCATTCACGAAAAGGCCAATTTTGGGCAATAATTTTAAAAGTATGATGAAATGTCATAAAACCTAAAAGAGTACCCTTTTAAGGATTTGACAAATAAGTCCAAAAATCCAAGTGCTGTATTCTTTTTCATGTACTCTTTTGGTCAAGATATCAAAAATAAACTTAGAAGATAATCTAAATTATTAGAACTAACTAAGAGGTAACTTGGTAACGCAACTAATAACGATCTAAGGTGCTTTATGGTTTTTTTTTTTTTTTTTTTTTTTTTTTTTTTTTTTTTTTTTTGCCGTTAGATTGCCTGCGTCACCAGTTAGCCCAGGGGGATCTGGAATTCTCTAATTGGCATTCAGCTAAAATGAAATTTAAAATGCACAAAACTAAGCAGACTTTTACCTGACTTTATCATCAAATTGCAAATTTTGGTATTGTATTGAAGAACATGAAAGTACATAGGATTAATTTTCTATTTTAAAGCTTATATTAAAAATCGGTATAGATCTTTATGAAATACATGGGCCACTGCCTTTGTAGTTATTGTTTCCTTTTGGCTTTTACTTTTTTTTTTTTTTTTTTTAATGTCCCTTGTAAAGAAAGAAGTTTCTTTAAAACTTCTTTTTCCTTCCAGGCATCCATCTGAAAATCCTTTTGTAATGTGATGGTGGAATCCTGCCACCTAGTGAAAATCGCAAACATCAAGAATGAAGCATAAAACAATAGGTGGAAAGCAGAGTTTTTATAACTGGGAAGTTCCTCCGGGGTCTCCAGTTCAACCCATGAATTTTAGATGAGGAAAGAGCCCAGAGATGTTAAGTAACTTGCCTTGAGTTTTCACCTTGGAACTGGCAGAGTGATTAAAGGCCCAGAAAGGTGATTTTGTTGGATTTCTTTAGGAGTCAATAGCAGGCAACCTCAGATAAAATATGAATGCCCAATTTAGCATATATAGAACTCACAACACTGAAGCGGATTTGTCCTGAGTCTAGAATAGCAGCTGGCTGGCTCTAGTTATGAGATTTGGGTTCTAATTCCAGCTCTGATCTAACTTGCAGCCTGGCCTTAGGAAAATCTCTGACCCTTCCTGTCTCATCTGGGGTGTGTGTGGGGCTGGGGGCGGGGAGGAAGGAGAGACAAAGATTTTCACTTAGGTAGTGAAGAAGTAAGTAAGAAATTGGACTGTGCAATCTACAAAGCTCTGTCTTGCTCAAGTATTCTACGATCCTGATAATGTACAGTTTTAGAATCACTTGCCTACTGATTGAAATACGGGGACAGAAGTGGCTGAGGGTTATTGTTCTCTGGTGGCTCTTTGGCAGCCAGGCCTGAAGAGTAGAGTGGGTAGTAGGTTTCTTCTGAGTTCTCCATGTGCCAATTTCAATGTGGAATCTCCTTGTGGCGATTCACTGAAGAGCTAAGGCAGATGGCTGGGAAAGGGTGCTGTGCAGGAGTTTCTCCGCTAATGGCATCTCTATTGCCAGGATTCAGTGAGGTTGTTAGGCTATGTCAGAATCCAGTCCTACACTCCCCCCAAATCATCCTTCCTAAAATACCCAACAATATATTTGTGGTTTTCAAAAGATCATTATTAAAGCATCTAGATGTTTAATTTGCTTTTGTAGTTTGTGATAGTATAGTTAGAGCTCTAGATTGTAAAATATCATTATGAAAATTATCTGTAAGTTTGCCTTAATTCCTGTGTGTTTGTGTTTGTAAGAGAGGCAGAAAGAGAGAGAGAAAGGCCACAGTCTACAGTCTACCTTTTGTCCGTATGTTAAAAAGACTAAAGAGCTGTCTCAAGTAGATGTAAGTTCTAAATTACTGTTTCAATGCACATTTTTGGTGATAATTTTCTTTCTTTTTTTTTTTTTTTTTTAGTTCAAATGATTATATTCAATTTCTTATACTAGCATTATTTGTGGTAGAAATCCCTTGGAACAAAATGCTTATCACTTTCTCTGTTATCTAGGCCATTGCCTCACTAGGATCACTGTATTTTATTTAAAACATTAAGTCAATTCGGTTCTAGTCATGGTATCTCATTGAGTTCAAGGCAACGTGAGTGTTCCTTGGGCACAGACTTTCTCTTCTTGTAAGGACCGGTGATAGCTTATCAGGGCTGGATGCAAGGAAAGAAAAGGCCAGAGAGATGGTTGCTGTCACATCAAATGCTCACAGTTTTGAAGAATTTCCACAGAATTAATTTGGGAGTTGAAAGAAAATTAAAATTTTCAAAGAAAAGAAAATTTCAGCGAGTGCTTGAACCATGACCCTTAAAATGGGAATGCTGCAAAGCAGTTCTGTAGACAATAACATATTTTGGTATGCTGTGAAATATGTAAGTATTTAGATTTTTCATAATTCTCTACAGAGTAAAACTCTAACAGGTTGAAATAATGCAAAAAATGAGTTTAATGTTATTAAGTATAATCAGAAACTGAATGACTTTATAATTCCCAATAAATATCCTTATAGTGACATATTTGGTCACTTTTGAGATATGTTCAAACATGTTTAGTTTTTGGTTAGCTGGTTGAACTATATACAAACTCCAAATTTAAAAGATAAATAACAGGAATATGTATTATCAAAACTTGTCATTGAGATTTAAGCTCAATGCCATGAAATCTGTTTTGTTTTAAAAAGTAAACTGAATTTTTAAAAGGCCCAAATAATCAGTAACATAAGCTTGTTTTTTTAAATGTTTATATATCTTTTAATTTATATTCCAAATTTATGTGATGAGAAGCAAACATTTCTAACACTGAGTTATACCATAATACTTTGCAAAGTATATTTTCAAGAGATTATACACAAACAAATTTATCCAAACAGAAAACCCCACTGTGTGTGCAGATAGCTTTACAAAAAGAATGTGAGCACTTCTGCTTTGCAAAACTCTGTCTTTTGGGATGTGTACTTACCTGGCTCTGTCTCAGAACATGCTTTTGGCAAATCATTTTGGAAAATCTTCATATGAAGGAGTGGGGAGAAATTTTTGTTTCACAAAATATCTTACCTGCAATTGAAAAATTACTCACATTTTGAAAATAATTAAGAAAAACAGTTGAGACTGTTTACCCTTTATATTTTTAATATAGTTATATGTTTTTATATAGTCAGAAATTTATTTTTTCTTCAAACCTTATACACCACTATAGTATGTACCACTAGAGTATGTATTCTCCTATTGAATTTAGTTCAAAGTTTCAAATAATTGTTCATTAAAATTGAGGTGACATAGTATAATCCTTCATTTCATAAGGCCAAAATTGATTTAATAATTCTTATCAATGGTTAAGCTATAAAAAATGATAGGATTTGATTTTTCTTCTTCCTCATTGATGGAAACAGGTGCCTGAGAGAATAAAACTAGATTAAAGTTGCCCCAAAAGGAAAGATTATTTTTAAAAAAATATAGTTTGTGTCCAACCCTGATTTAATTGATCTAGAGTTCATCTTGGACACCAGGATTTGTAAATACTCTGAAGGTAATTCTGATGTGTGGTCAAGATTCACAACCACTGCTATGGAAAGTTGAGGCCAAAAAAATTCTGATATTCTACTGCACAGTATGTGACTATAGTTGATAATAATGTATTGTAAATTTCAAAATAGCTAAAATAGAGGAGTTTAAATGTTCTCATCACAAAGAAATGATAAACATTTGAGGTGATGGATACATTAGTTAGCCTGATTTGATAATTCCACAATGTATCCGTGTTATCACTACATCTCATTGTACCTCATAATACATACAACTATTATTTGTCAATTAAAAATAAAACAAAACTTAAAAAAAGAATATAAGTACCACATGCTAACCAATTGCACACACATGTTTATTGCGACACTGTTCACAATAGCAAAGCCTTGGAACCAACTCAGATGCCCATCAGTGATAGACTGGATAAAGCAAATGTGGCACATATACACCCTGGAATACTATGCAACCGTAAAAATGGATAAGTTCATGTCCTTTGCAGGGAGGGACATGGATGAATCTGGAAACCATCATTCTCAGCAAACTAACATAAGAACAGAAAACCAAACACCGCATGTTCTCACTCATAAGTGAGAGTTGAATAATGAGAACGCATGGAGGGGAACCTCACACACTGGGGCCTGTCAGGAGGTGGGGGTCAAGGGGAGGGATAGCATTAGGAGAAATACCTAACGTAGATGGTGGGGTGACTGAGGCAGCAAAACACCATGGCACTTGTATATTCCTCTGTAACAAACCCACACATTCTGCACATGTACCCAGAACTTAAAATATAATAAAATAAAATTAAAATTTAAAAAGAATATATATATGATTATATCTTATACATATTTTGCTTGTTCATGAAATTATCATCGTCAATCATCTAAGATTCTTTACTACTCTGTTCTATAATTGTCATGAAAATTCAAGAAGAGGTTAAAAAAATAATAAAGTTAAGGTCAGCTAGGTCCCCACAGGGCTTACTGAGGGGTGGTGGCACAATATGTCCTCTCTGCCCTTCCCCACTGCCCCTCTCATAGTCAGCTTAAGGGGAAGACCAGAGA